GCAATTCATAAGACGATTTATTTCAAAATTAACTTTGACTTGTGAACCACAATTTGGTCTCTTGAAGAAAGAAAAGAAATTCCGATGGGACGACCGATGTCAGTTTGCTTTTGAGCAGATCAAGCAATACCTTCAGAATCCGCATGTGTTGTCGCGACCAGAGCCGGGGAAGCCGCTGATTCTATATTTGTTAGTAATAGACACAACAATGGGATGCATGCTTGCTCAAGAATATGAGGATAGGGTGGAGAGAGCCATCTATTACCTGAGCAAGAAAATGCTGAATTATGAGACGCACTACACTCCACTAGAGAAAGCTTACCTAGCCTTGGTATGGGCTACCAGGAAGTTGAGGCACTACCTATTAGCTCACTCCATAATTCTAGTTTCATGATTAGATCCCACCAAATATCTTTTAGAGAAACCAGCGCTTACGGGTAGGCTAGCTCGTTGGTTGCTTCTCTTCTCCGAATTTGATCTGAAGTATGTTACACGTAAGTCTGTCAAGGGGAGAGCGGTAGCAGAGTTCCTGGCAAATCACCTAGTGGAAGGGGATGAAGCAGTAGAATACCTGTTTCTAGATGAAGCTATTCTGGAAGTCAAGGAAGAGATTTGGACAATGTACTTTGACGGAGCATCTAACCAATACAGTTATGGGATAGGGGTGTTGCTGATAGCACACAACAATTCCTATATACCCTTAGCCTTCAAGCTCCGGTTGAAAGTATCCAACAATAAACCAGAATATGAGGCATGTATCGCTGGTTTGGAAGCCGCCCTGGAACTAGGGGCAAAAGGGTTGGACGTCATTGGGGACTCGAACCTAGTTATGTCCCAAGCAAAAGGACACTGGAAGGTCAAAGAAGTAAAGATGAAAATCTATCCCCAGACCTTGGACGTTCTGATTCCTAGGTTTGAGAAGCTGACCTTTACACATCTACTAAGAGAGAACAATAGGTTTGCTGATGCCTTATCAACTCTATGTTCCATGATAGACATCTCGTTTGGAGTCCGGATGCATCCGATCATTATTGAACAGAGATATACGCCAGCCTACGAGTCAATCGCTGCAATAGATGAAGTGCAAGATCAAAACCCTTGGTTTTATGATATCTGGAACTTCTTAGAAAATGAGGTTTATCCACCAGGGCAAATCCCAAAAATTAAGAGGGCAATACGGCAAATGGCCATTCAATTTATCATCTACGAAGGTAAACTGTATAAGAGGGTTCATCTGAGAATGCACAAGTTGTGTGTTGACGTAGAGCAGTCAAAGCGCCTAATGGAGGCCATCCATGGAGGAGAGTGCGAAGCGCACATGAACGGAGTAAAGTTAGCCCGGAAGATTCTCAGGCAAGGTTACTACTGGTCTACCATGGAAGAGGATTGTATTGGTTTTGTTCGGTGATGCCACAAATGCCAAATTCATGCCAATCGCATGAAATCTCGCCATCGAAGCTGTACAACATGACTTCACCATGGCCTTTTTCAGTCTGGGGAATTGACGTCATTGGGGTAGTTACACCGAAAGGCTCAAATGGGCATGAATACATTCTGGTGGCAATTGATTACTTCACAAAGTGAGTGGAAGCTCAGTCTTATGCAGTGTTGAAAGAAGTGCATGTGGCTAAGTTCATCCGAAATAACATCATTTGCCGATATGGAGTCCCGAACAAGATCATTTCAGATAATGGCTCCCATTTCAAAAAAGAAGTAATTGACTTGTTGGAAAAATACAACATGGCTTTTCATAAGTCATCTACATACTGGTCACAAACCAACAGAGTTGTTGAAGCCGCCAACAAGAACATCAAGCACATTTTGGAGAAAATGGTTGAGACTTACAGGGACTGGCCAGACAAGTTGCCATTTGCACTCTGGGGCTATAGGACTTCAATTCGAACGTCTACTGGAACAACTCCGTACTCTCTTATTTATGGGATGGAAGCTATTCTGCCGATTGAAATAGAAGTTCCATCACTATGAGTTATGGCTGAGTGCTAGAGAGCATAGGCGGATTGACAACAAAGCAGGTTTGAAGAACTGATGCTGTTCGATGAGAGAAGGCTGAAAGCACTGTACCATGTTTAGGGTTATCAACATAGGATTGCTAGGGCTTTTAACAAGAAGGTTAAGTCTCGAAATCTCAAAGAAGGGGATTTGGTGCTAAAAGACAACCGAGCTTCCATCCATGACCCTAGGGGCAAGTTCAGACCCAATTGGATTGGTCCTTACATTATCAAAACTATTTGTTCTGGTGGAGCTATTATTCTTATGGACCTGGATGGCCTAGAATTTTCCCAACCAATCAATATGGACAAGTTGAACAAATATTACCTTTGAGAGGCTCGCTAGGCCAAAAACCCGAAAGGGTGACCTAGGCAAAAGTTAGAGCACAAAAAATGGAAATAAAGAAAAACTGAGCTCGCAAGGTTGAAAACCCTAAAGGGTAGCCTTGGCAAAAGTTAGAGTGCAAAAGGAGAGCGTTAACACTCGAGTGAACCCGAACCGAACTACATAAGGCCTCATTCCCATCTTTGGGATACGTAGGCAACTTCATCCTGAAGTTCGGCCGTAAACACCTCTAATTTAACTGTCCTGTCCATGTGTTGATCAGGTCATCTTTGTCTATTCTTTATCTGAATGATTGGTTGTGATCACCCTTGAGAACTGGTTACAGTGCTGAGCAGTGCTATTCAGTTAAGGGGCAATTTGTTGTCTTCAGATCCAGGGTTGTACATCTCGAGGACAAATTCTGTGCTGGTCAAGTTGTGATCCTTATCGAAAATAATTTTTGAAAAGTTTTGATAAAGGTTGATTTTTGTTCAAATTAATCCTTTTACAATTCAGACCATTTTTTGACCAAAAGGAAAACTTTCAGTGCCCACAAATTCTCCAACTCTCGATACAAATCAAAATTGCTTTTATTACATTCAAAAATAAAGCTTGAAAAGTCAGATCAAAGCAAATAAACTCGAGTCATAGATGAGTCAGGTGTTCTGTGTCACCTCCCTATGCTTGTGGAAGCTTCTGATGCTATAGCGGGGCCGGATTGCGCCTCATCTTCAAGCAAGTTTAGGCACTCGCCAGAAAGTGCGCACTTGAAACTAGGGACAGGAGCCAGAAGTTTTCTCATCCTTTGCACAATGGGATATCTAGGCAATTGTGAACCTCGGCTTGGGAATGAAGCTGGGTACTCTACCCCCTCTTCTGGGAAAGTTTGGTCATGTCCAAACTAACGCATAAACCAGAACGAAATGTAGAATACATAGTGTGTCAGGCCAATCAGTTGAGTGCCAGGTGGTCGAGCCTTGCTGTAGCTCATCTCAGGAAGATCAAACTAAGGGCAACGCCAAGCAATGTCAACAGCAGACCTGTTGCACATCCAATGGCACCACCACCCTTTGTTCGGGAAGTCAACTAGCTATTGGCCAAAAAAGTATGCTTGGGCTAAGTATGCAGGGCAAGAGTCCATTACCTTCAGCTTATCCATAAGCCATATCTGGGGAGAGATGAAAGAAAAGAGAGATTAAAGAATAGAGAGGTGTATGTTGAGAAAAAGTGTGAAAAGGGTTTTGAGAGAAAAACAAAGCATGAATGACGAGAGATGTGAGAAACACATATTAGAAAGGGTGGGAAACATTACCTACAGAAGTAGTGGACTCCCTGTGAATTTGTTTCTCCCGCAGATGGAAGGCGTCCAAACCCATCAAAGTCTCAGCCAATGTCATGCCAATACAACTCCTGCCCTCTTTCAGTCCTTGGGCCACTTCAACTAGCTGAATGCTAGACCCTCCAAAACTAGGGGCAAGAAGGAAATGAGCTAACATGCACAAACAAAGGGCATGTTGTCAAAAGCCCCGCCAAAGAAGGACGTCTCGGTTGCCGGCTTCAGAAAATCGATGAATTAGACTGGAGATGTCTAGCTCTCTGTTGTGAACAAAGGATCAGGCCTTGTGTAGAGTAAGCCCGCACAAAGCTTGGATGTGACCAAAATGGGGCTGAGGCAAGATTTCCTCTTCATGCTGGGACTTTATTAGCACTTGAAATTCTTCGATTGTCAGGCATATCCCTTGTCCCCCGAAGTCAAAGACATGCGTAATCGGGTTCCAACATCTAGTTGTGGCATGTAGGAATGGAAAACAAAGCAGAGAACGACTTAGCGGGAATAGTACATTTATGCCGAAACCTCAAAAATTTAGCTTTTCTGAGCCATCTAAAGTTGCAATCCAATCTGAGAGTTTTTCGGCAAAGAATGGCTGCATTTGTGAAGAATTTGCAGCTAAAATGAAGAAAATATAAGGTCCAAACCTTTTGTAGAAGATAAGGTAGTGAGTGGAAGCCAGGTGTCAACATTCTGGAGGTTCCTCACATTGATGGCCGACCGGCCACTGGTGATGGCCGACAGGCCACTTTGGTAGCCGATCAGCCACCACTGGTAGCCGACATCTTCTATTCATGGTCAACCCATAGTCAACGATTGTTTTGTCCGTCCTCTTGTTCACCTATGTGCTGAGAATGCTGAAGACATGTGTTTTGTTTTGTTTTTTTATGGTCTTGTTTTGAGCCCTTTTAACGTTAGCAAGTTTGTGGAGTTGCATTTGAGTTGTTTTGTTTTGTTTATCGGGTTGTTTTGTTCATCGAGTTGTTTATCGAGTCGTTTGTTGTATATCGAATTGTTTTGTTATTTATCGAGTTGTTGTTGTTTTGATTATCAAGTTGTATTACTTTGATTATTTCAGTTGTTGGTCGGTTCGTTACCTGATTCAGACTATTGTGACAATACAAGTATTTGGTTTTCAATATCAAATTCAATCTCATTTTCGTGTAATACGGTGCTCATGATGCAAAATACAACACTTTTTTCCTAAATGCACTGGTTTTCGTTCCGATCATAGTTATTTTTACAAAAGTGCAGTACAAGTTTCTAAAGCAAATAAAGCTCGTCTGAAACTGTACAATGTGCTAACGCTACTAACAAAAAGAAGCTAAGCAAAAAACTATAGAAAATCAGCACTGGTTGTCTTAGGCTCGAGAAGTCCTCTTCGTCTCTTCTTCAAAGGAGAGGACTCTGCGGTATTGTCTCCATCGACGCCACTGTCTAAATCAGGATTAGAGTCTGAACTGGAGCCATCTCCGCTCTCCGCCTCAGAGCCCTCCTTAGCTTTAGCACTCATACTCTCAGAACCTGAGCCAGTGTCGTCGTCACCACTCTCGGATGACTCAGCATGCTGACTCGCTACCTCCTCGGCCTCGCTAGTCTCAGCCTCATCATCGCTTAGAATGGGCTCTGAAGGGCCAGTCTCATCTTGGGTGCCCTTGGCTCTGCCTCGGCTATGTGCTGGAGCCTGTCTCTCTTTTCTCCCTGCCACCAGAGTAGGCATCGCTGGTGCTGATGCTGGTGCTGTAGCTGCCACCGGTGTTGTCAGCATGGATGGGACTTGAAAAGACAGTTGTCATATGTCAGCCACAATATGCGTATCAGATGCAAGTATGGTGTGCAAAATGAGTAAATGTAGTATTTTAGATGTAGTGTATGAATGTAGCATGGAACTGCAGTGTTTCAGACACAGTGTATCAGTGTAGTGTGGGTTAGTTTTTAGTTGAAATGTCAGTTTCAGTGTGTTAGTGGAAATTTGATTATTGGAATGTAAGAAAATTGAAGAAATGACCTGAATGCCGTGAAAGCCGAATAGTGCCTCCATTCTTAATATCATACCCTCAAATGAAGCTAGTAGCTCCAGTAGATCCTCGATGTATCCTGGGGGTGCTTGCAAATGCATTCGGAATGATCAGTGTCCAGAAGGAACAAATATTAGAAAGAGATGAGAAAACTAAAAATGCGGAACATACCGAGGATGCGTCATGAGCTCTGACATATCTATGCCCCGCTACAATTGGCTCAATTAGAATCTGATATGCCTTTCCAGTATACCGCTAACAAGTGAGAGCATTAGGCAGCTCTGGCCAGCCAGTCCTCTGCCTCGGCTGAGAAGCTCATCTCCCATGGGCCCTGGCTGCCCTGGTTGCTCTAGGCCCCGCCCTCGCTGCAAGAGCTCTTGCCCCCTCACCTCTACGAACACCGGTCATAGGTGGCATAAGGTGTGTTTGAATGAAGACCGTATAATCGCCCTCGACTCGGAAGTATTCTGCCTCCAAGCCCACCATGAACTGGATAACCCCGTCAACAGATAGGCTGTTTGCTAACCTCATGAAATCTGACGGCATCATCGGTATGAACGGAGCAGGTAGACCCAGAGACTGACACACGACTCTCTCGCCTAGGTACTAGGCTCGGCAAATCGGACCCTCAAGTAGAATACGGTAGCACGAAATGCCCAAGGCCATAGTGTACCGACCTCGAACTGTTGTCGGTATCGTAGCCCATGGCTGCCACGTGATCTGTAAATAGAAGATGAATAGATTATTAGCCATCGTTAGTTACTAATATGTGAATCAGAATAGATGTAGAGAAAAAATGATGACCGTGTCTTTGGTTACCACATGGGCAACTACGGTGTCAAAGTAACGTCTGAAGAAAGTGAAGGGCTCGCGAGTCCTACGGTGAAGCTGACCATCGTACACCCACGAATAGGGGACCATCAACAGAACCTCTGCTGCAGGCTCTGGGCAAGAGTTGGGAAGTATGCATACACCCATAGTTGTGGAGAAAGCGTAGTGGCATGTTATCAATACAGTTTGAACAGATACATAAAATGCAAAGCAGAAAGCATACAGTGCATAAATAGATATAGAAAATGCAAAGCAAAAAGTACATGTGTTGAACAGATGTAAAACAAGAAATGCTGAACAGAAAATACACAGTGTAAAGAGGGAACTGAGATGTGTACCTCCCAGGCTCGCCAGTATCCTTCGATCAAGTGCCCACTCCCGCGGGAGGTCGAGCTCATATAGTCGTATAGAGTGGCGAGGCTGGCCTGCTCCAATCATAGAAACTCACTCAGGAAGGACCACTAGTGCGCTCAGCAAGTATAACCCTACGGTGTTCGCCCTGTTCGCAAACAGGGTGGTACCGAGGAGGAACATCAGAAAACACCGAGCGTACTGCTCTATCTCCTCTACTGTCTCTGGCTTAGTCCCCCGGAACTGCTTCTCAAACCAACTGTATTTGACCATAGCTGTTTGGAACAAAGGTGGGCGCACCCCTAGTAGCTCAATCCAGGCAGCCTTCCACTCCCCCACATCAGGATCAAAAGGAATCGGATCACCCCCTATGCCTAGGCCTGTGATCATGGTGAAGTCATAAGGAGTCATTGTCATCTCTCTGATAGTGGAAAGGTTGAGAGAGTTGGTGGTGTCCTACCACTTCTCCACTAGCGCTCCAAGAAGTAGACGGCTTGTTATAACTCATGTCAATCCAGAGCAAAATAGGCCACAGTTGGCCTCGTTAACAATGTCTCGTACTCTTGTGAAGAGCTCGTCATACCAATCTCTAGCCGTCGTGGCCCCATAGTCCCTGTATGTGTGAGAGTCACCCTGTGGCAAAGGACAGGTAAACCAGTGTCAATACAGTTAGTTGAAAAGGAAGTGCAAAACAAATGCGGTGGCAGTGATGAAAGTATAGGAAGAGGAGAGACAACGCAAGAAATGCAAGTAAAGAACATCAGATGTGCAAGCGACTAGAGTTTGTACCTCAACGGCAACGACTGAAAGATGGGAATCTGGCTCCATCAGTAGGAGATCTGCTGGCGCGTCAGTAGCAAAATCAGTGAAGTGCCTAATGCCTCCAGCGGGTAGAATATGCGTTCGAGGATGATACCTCACCGGATCAAAAGGCCTCACTCCCAATGGTAATGGCTCTGGCTCTGCCTCATAATCAAACTCTGCCTTGAACTCTGCCTCTGAAGGAGCTCCATCATTTGGTATGTCGTCTGCCATCCGGAATACGGGTGAAGAGTCGATGAACAATGAAGAAAATGGAGAAAATAGGGTAAACTTTGAAAAAGTTAATCCCTAGGAGAGAGAAAATGGAAGAAAAAGTCAAAGCCAGAAATAAGGCACCAAACCCGAGAGAAACTCGAGGGAAAGAAGCCTGTAGTGGTGAAACTCCAAGAAAAAGGACCGAAATCAAATTTCAATCGGTTCAAAATGGTGTAAACTGAGAGGGTTTAGCGAAGAAAATATGCATGGGGCATTGGAAAATGCATATAAAGCTCAGATCTAGAGAGAAGAAGGGTTTAGAGAGAGAGATGGTGAAATTTTGGACATAAGGTTGTGTGCAAATGAGGTCCCATGACCTATACTTAAAGACCCATGGCCCGATCTTCCATTAGTGGCCGACCGGCCACCACGGGTGGACGACAATATTAAAGGCTGGCTGACAGGTGGTTGTCACCCTCATCTGGTGGCTGTCTAGTGCCTAGTTCTCCTATTTTGTGTCTTGATGCTATGTTGTCTTTGTTTCCTGAGATGTTCAAGGGAAGGTCACTGTTGAGTTCAAATTCTCTTTGCGGAAGCTTGAAATTGTGTTTTCGGTGATCGTTGTTCATCACTTGTTGAACGAGGTGTATCCTTTTTGCATGTCGCAAGTCTTGCAAGAGGTAAATGCGAATGTTGCTATTGAACTTGTTTCATTAGAATACACTTTCATTCTTACATAGACTGTGCATCCCTTTATTGCGCATGTAGAACGGGCATTTTACATATGCTGTTGCACAGAATACGTATTTCAATCGTGCATAGAACATGCATTTTGTTATTTAGCATGGAACATGCTGTTAATCGCGCATCGAGCATGCATTTTGTACTTAGCATAGAACATGCATTTGATACATTTGCGTAGAACATGCCTTAACATTATCATAATTGTGCATAGAACATGCACCCATACTTTATTGAACTTGTTGAGTTTCTTTCTTACGTAGGCACGATATTGTATGTACGGTCCATTTAGAGGGGTTCGAGGTGAAGTCATTTGTGTCCTTCGAATCACATCCTTTTATTCCTTCTCCTCGCGCGTGAGACACGTTAGGATTACTCCCTTTGGTTAAAAACATTCGGGTGTGTCCCTGTGTTTACACTTTCCTTTGGTTAAAAATATTCGGGTATGTCCCGGTGTTTACACTCCCTTTGGTTAAAAACATTTGGGTGCGTCCTGGGATCTACACCACTCCTTTTGCTTAAAAACATTCGGGTGCGTCCCGGTGTTCACACCATTCCCTTTCGTTAAAAACATTCGGATGTGTCCCGGTGTTTACACTCCCTTTGGTTAAAAACATTCGGGTGCCTCCTGGTGTTTACACCACTCATTTTGGTTAAAAACATTCGGGTGCGTCTTGGTGTTTACACCACTCCTTTTGGTTAAAAGCATTCGGGTTGTAGACGCGCCCTCGGGCCTCATGCTACAGTTCAGGACTCTCAAATTGTCACGGTTCTTAATCTGAACAAAATAGTCCAAATCTGGCAAATTGTTTTAAGAAAAACAGATTTTGAAAGAAGTACCAAACATGGACTGCTTTGCCAGATACAGAGTCGCCACCTAAATATTTTTTTATGGGGGGATTTGGGAAACCTTGACTCAGTGCCAAAGGCCACATGTCCGTCATCACCAAAGTTGCCTCGGCTCGGGAACTTGGGTATGATTGGGGAGGTCAGCTATGAGCACCCCCTCTCGCCCGATCCGAAGATCGGCCTCTACTAACCGTGATATCCTATTTTGAAAACGTTATGCGTTCTTATTTTGGTTATTAGCCTAGATTTACTACGTTATGCGCACAGCGAACAAGTATAGACTAGATTGCCTAATTTGGAACAAAACATTGCATATCCGTTTGTTTGGAAAACGCTTTGGAATTTGCTACTCACAAGTAGGCTAAAATACGGATTTCAACGAGTTATCCCAACTCAAAAAATCCAACCTTCACCCACAGGCACTCAAGCAGTTTATATCACATAAGCATCTAGCCACATGGTAAGCATGCTGTCATGGCAACACTCACACTCATGCAAGGATGCTAAAGCATGAAAGCTTACCTAGTACTCTGAGCCAAAACCAAAGCTAGTTAGTAATCAATGCATGATCCTAACTCATGTTAAGATGGCTAATGCAACACATACAAGATGCAACTACAATAGGCTCGGCCATTCTAAGATGGCTTGTGATAATGCTACAACTAACATGTATTCAACTTGGAATTGAAATACAAGTGCAGTTAGTATGATGTACCAAGCCCGGTGCATGTAAGACGAATGGATGGATGCAAACATGCTATCATACTATATGCTAATTGAAGCATGCCCTAGACTAACCATCGAAAGCTAGTAAATAAAAGGGAAGAAAGACGTGGGGTTGGGAGACATGCACACACTCACGCACACTTATTACACAATTGCCCTCACTCGGAGGGTCCGAATAAATATTACAGTCTGAATAAATAATACTAAATTAATTATTACAGAATTTCTAATTAAT